TGGCTCCTTCAACTGTCCAAGACACTTTGTGTTGAGGACTAAGGACTTGATCCTTCCATCGTCCAAGACACTTTTTATAGAGGCTGCTTACATGTTTGGGAAACTCGGATTTTAAACAATAAACCAATTTGAGAGGTTTACTGCCCCCTTTTTTTTGGCTGACTTTTTTTTTTTTTTTTTTTTTTTTTTACAGGCATGGCTAGAACAAGTTCTGATGATAAAGCGTGCTCTGACATGCACGAAATTGTTGAGCTTAAAAATCATGGCAAAAGTTATCTGCTTTTCATTGATACTGATGTGAAGTACCATGCCCATACCGGCGTACGAGGTGAACTTAAATTTAGTGTCCATAAGCCAACGATAGATCCTTCTCCCGACCTTCTGGAGCCATTATCGAAGTTGCATATTCCACCATTAGTGAATGTCATGAGAGTTTGGATACTGGCAAGTCCAATCGCTCTAGCAGTCATCTTTCCTTTTTGTGTCTTCCGCCTCATCATTCCCAGAGCATGAAGTACATTCCATGGGCTGTGATTTGTGAGAAAATTGATAATAGAGAAATACGATGGGGAAGCACACTGGTAAGTCGATGAGAGATTTCTTTTCTTCCAAAATTTTGGGAGTGGTCTTTGTGGGTCCAGAAACTTCTGCTCAAGAGGAACCTCCGCGAGTTAGCTTTTGCAGTTGGTTCTGCTGCAAAGATTGCCATCGCCCAAACTCTATTTACAGAGCTCTTTGTGAGGTTTGGTGTCCAGAAACCAACACCTTTGTGACTGCCAATGGTGAAATTGGCATTTTTCTCTGGGACATCTGCGAGATAAGTGGACTTTCGATCATGGGTCATTATTATGAGGAAGTAGTCCCAAGCTTCTTAGAGTTGACAGATCATCTTCCCTAGTCTTGTTTGTATCTCTTTAATGATTGCCCATGCGAATAAATCTGACAGAGTTACTCATGAACAGTGGATTAATTTTTGGTTTCATGAGAATAGTTGTGTCCCGAACCCTCGACAACACAAAAATTATAAGAATGCTATGAATTTGAATCCATTGAAAAGGCACCATTAAAGAACATCGAAGGAAATACAGAGGCCCGTGGTGGCAGACAAGTTGAGAGACATCACTCGTAGGGATCGACGTCATTGGGGCAATTTTCCAGTATCTCTGTCTATGGAAAAAGAAGAGGAATTAGAGATAGCAGCCTATCTCTCCCTATGGCTTTGTCGCTTCGTTCTTCCATCTAGGTACGAAAGTATAAGAGTCGGGACTTTGAAAGCATCTTCTAGGATGACAGGCGGATACACTTATAGTCTGGTTCCACCCATATTGGGTAGCATTTATAGTGGACTTACATGAACATCTAACTATTAGGCAAATCGAGACCTTGGCTTAATTTCACATTCATTTCCTGGACATTTTCTTTATGCTTGGGCAGCAACTTATTTTGTCTGAGGTGTTTATGCTCATGTAAACAAGAGTTATTCTCGCTCTATAATTCGAAGATATGCCGAAACTCTGCATGCTTTTCAATCTTGGGAGAAAAATGTCATTGATTGTCGGGAATTTATCCGTGGAGCGATGAACACTGATAACTTTTGCTGGAATCCATTACCCTCATCATCTCATCCTGATGTATGTGTGGATGACCAACCGAGGTCTGCAGATACTTCAGAATTCACGATGAGTATTCGATCTGGATTTGTTTCTTATTGTCGAGGAAATTCACCTTTCATTCTTGAGGCGTATAATTCTCACAGGTTTGCGAGACAGTTTGGCTTTAGACAGAAACTTTTCGGTTTACCAAGAAAGTTGAATATTGCCCCCAGTGTAGGCGACATATATCGGGTTTGGTTGTCCTTAACTCGAATAAAAAGTGGGTCTATATTTCATATTTCAGAGTATGTGAGGGATATACATCAAAACATTGATGTTGAATACCAGGCTTGTTGGAATAGCAAAGTGTTACCACTCTTGACCAAGGTCCAGGTGCAAGTCTTATTTTCTAGTGAGAGCCGTGACTTTGTTCTTGGCTCGACTCCGAATAGGGTTTTAGCTAGAGGGTTAAACCCTTCGAATGCTGCTCCTGAAGAGGCTTCTCGAAAGAGAGATCTAAACCAGCAAAATGAAAGAGGTATTAAGAGAATCAAAATTATAGTTCCCTCAGCAAAGGTTGCTATCACCTCTGAGCCTGCTGATAAGGTGCCAGAAGCAATTTTGATTCCAGATCACAGTAGTCCTGGAGATCGAGCATCACAAGCACCAGGAAAGACTTTGACTTCAGAAGATGAAAGTTCTGGAGATCAGGTATAGTCCTCCTTTTTATTTTATTTTATTTTATGTACTGTTTGTATCTGATTTTCTGTCACAATCTTCAATTTCAGGCTTTTCTTTCTCGAATATACAAAATCAAATGACCAATAGAATCGAGGCCGCTTCAAGCTATTTCGAGTCTTTCAAAAGTTGAAGTTGGAGCTTCTCACATTAACCTCAGCCTCCCGAACACATCATCAGACGGTGGATTTTTAGACATGTCGCCCAAGACACGAAATGCAAGTATGTGCCTTGTTGTTGTTTGCTACACTTTTTCCTTTTTTTTTAATTCAGAAAAACCATACACTATTTCTTGTAGGTTTTCCGAGCATCCCTGAAGAACTAAATTTTTTCATGAATCCAAACTTTTTGTAAGATCAGACTGGTGAGAATGACAGACGAATCGATGCACTTCAAGGAATAGATGGTATTCATGCTTCTCATGACCTTCTTTATGAATATCCAGGCACCATCAATGGAGGTACTTTGGTGCATATCATGGACAATTTTAATGCTGAAGATGAAGTAAATTTAGGGACTGTGGGAGCTAACATTTCAGAGATCAATTAAGGAGTTCCTGTCGTTCCATCTTCATTGGCTTTAGTCAGTATTCCGCCTTCACAAACAAATAATCATCGGGATGCACCAATATGTTCTTTCATGTCTGGTCCTCCACCTGAAATTACCTAAGAGTCTCTTTATCTGAAGGCTGCTCTACAAGAAGCTATGAATAATTACGTCCAGAAATGTTTTAAGGATGTCTTGAAGTATGGATTCTCCAATATTCGATCTTGGTGAGATGAAAATAATTTAATTCTTCAGAATGTGATTATTAACTCATTCCACGTAGACCCAGCACCTTTGATGAAATGCATGGATGTGTTTCTGAAAAAAATTGACTCTTACTTGTCTGAAAGAAAGTAGCACTTGGATTGTCCAACCGTTGAAGAAAAGGCGGAGGAGTTGAAACTTTTGAACATTCAGCTGGAAGTAAAGGATTCCACGTGTTCTTCGTTGAGAGGTAAAATTAGTGAGCTAACCTTTGAGCTAGATAGACTTTGTGATGAACTTCAAGCCGCCCAAGAGGAAGACAAAAGTATGATTGGAACCAAGAAGGCAGCATTGGAAGAAGCACAGATAAGAGATGTCGCTAGAATAGCATCCATTGACCAGAAAAGGAAGACCCTTGAAGATAGTTTCCTACGAGTGATCAATGGCGAGTGATCCTAATGAAATCGTGAATTTTCGATCTTCTTTTTTTTAAGACCATATTGTTTGAATTTTGACATACTATTTTTATTTGGATGAACTTTTCTTTTTTATGTTTGTTGTGTTTTTTTTCAGCAATTGATAAACAAATTGAATGAATTTATTAGTTATGACTGAACTTGAATTTATAATTTATTCAAGCTGCCTACGTACCCAAACGGGATCAAGTTGAACGTAGTTCATTACAAGAACACAATTTTTTTTTGTACGATGAAAAATTTTAAAATAAAGAACTTCAAGCGTAAAAACGCTTTAAAAGTTTTCCGTTGATAGGTCCGATTTGCAGTCCATCTTTGTCAACGATCTTGTACGCTCCGTTAGTGAATGCATGAGTAACAAGAAATGAACCATCCCACTTAGGATGGAACTTCCCCCTATTTTTCTTGTGATTATGATTGACATGTGCACAGAAAGTACCAGATCTCCAACTTGAAATGATCTTGGCCACACCTTTTTGTTGAAAGATTTGGCCATTCGAGATTGATAGCACTCTTGGTGCATTTGTGCTTCTAACCTTTTCTCATCCAAAGCTTCTGGCTCTTCCAATTGAAGATGGGCATTTTCTTTAGTTATCAAACCTTCTTGGATAGCAATTCGAAGTGATGAAATTTGACACTCCAGGAGAAGGACAGCTTCCACCCCATATACTAAGGCATAAGGAGTGGCTTGTGTTGGAGTCCGATAAGTAGTTCGATAAGCCCATAAGACTTCACCGATTTTCTCATGCCAATCTCTTTTTGATTTGGAGACAACCTTTTTCAGCAGACAGCATAGTATTTTGTTGAATGCCTCTACCAATCCGTTAGCTGCCGCATTGTACATGGACGAGTTGTACTGTTTGAATCCAAACTTTGCACATAAATTGTTTATGTGGCTATTGCAAAATGGCTTGCCATTATCAGTTATGATATGTCACGGGACACCATATCGATAAATGATTTGGATACGAATGAAATCTGCGACATTTTCTTTCTTTACTTCCTTCAATGGTATGACTTCGGCCAACTTAGAAAAGTAGTCGGTTCTGGCAAGGATGTATGCATGCCCTGCTGAAGACTTTGGAGTTATAGGTCCAATTACATCAAGACCCCATGCATCAAACGACCATGAAGCTATTGTTGGATGTAATGGTTTCGGAGGTTGATGGATGAAATTTACATAGATTTGGTAAGCTTCACATTTTCTTGCATAATCCATGGAGTCTTGTACCATAGTTGGCCAGTAATATCCCATCCTCTTTATTCGAAAATGGAGTTTGGGTCCAGACTGATGGGCACCACAAATTCCAGAGTGGGCTTTTTTCACGACATGCGTTGCTTCATCATTACTTAGGCATCGAAGGAAAACTCCATCAAATGATAGTTGATAAAGTGTTCCCTTATAAAAGATAAAGCAAGAGACACGCCTCTTGATTTCTATTTTTCATCGTGGATTATCTGGTAGCTTTTGATGTTGAAGGAAATCGATTATTAGCTGTCTCCAATCTTCTCCTTCCTCATCTTCGACTACTTCGACACTATTATTTTCTTCCAAATTACTAGGTAGCAATGACGGAAGCACCCATCTTTGAGCAATTGATATGGAGTGGGAAAATTCTTCATCTGATCTAGCTAAAATAGCAGCCAAATTAGCTAAGACATCAGCTTTTCTATTTTCACTTCTCGGGACGAATTTGATTTTTATCGAATCAAATCGTCTCATAAGCATTGCCACATGTTCATGATATGGCTTCAAGTCTAAATTAAGAACTTCATATTCAGCTAAAAGTTGGTTGATTATCAATTTAGAATCTCCAAAGACTTTTAGCTGGTGAATATCCATATCTAAAGTTGTCTATAAGCCGATGATAAGAGCTTGATATTCTGCCACATTATTCGAACATTTCTCTATTAAGGCAAATGAGTAGGGCATGACGAGATCATGAGGAGTGATGAAGACCACTCCTGCTCCGGCACCATAACTTCGGGCTGCCCGGTCGAAGTATAGCCTCCATGATGGTATGATTTCGGTGAATAGAACTTCTTCATCGGGAAGGTCTTCCTGAAGTTTCCATTCTGTTGGAATTGGGAGGTCAACAAGGAAATCCACCAAAGGTTGTCCTTTAATGACCTTTTGTGGAATGAATTTGATGTCGAACTCAAACAACAGTAATGCCCATTTTCCAATCCTTCCAGAAAGAATCGGCCTGGACATTATGTACTTCAATGGATCAATCTTTAAAACAAGATTGATTGTGTGTGATAGCATATAATGCCTCAACTTTTTAGCTGCGAAGATTAACGCGAGGCATATTTTTTCAATAGGCGAATACTTCATTTCAGCACCTACCAGTGTCCGGCTCAAGTAATAGAGTGCATTCTCTTTTCCTTCTTCGTTAACTTGGGCAAGAAGTGCCCCTAGAGAACATTCTTGTGCTACAACATAAAGAGTCAGCGACTTCCCTAGAACTGGAGCGATGAGTACTAGTGGACGAGACAATTATTGTTTAATACTTTGGAAAGCATTTTGACAAGCGTCATCCCATTCAAATGGTACATCTTTCTTCACCAATTTGTTGAATGGACGACAACGTCCAGCTAGATTAGAGATAAATCTTCGAATGTATGCAAGTTTTCCTTGAAGACTTTTCAACTCACGTACATTTCTTGACTCTGGCATATTGATTATACCTTCAATTTTTGATTGATCTATTTCAATGCCCCGGTGTCGAACAACGAAGCCTAGAAATTTTCTAGAGGTGACGCCAAATACACATTTCAACGGATTCATCTTTAATTGATGTCTTCGAAGTTTTTTGAAAATATCTTGTAAATCTTGTAAATGATCGTCGCGTCTTTTTGTTTTAACAACAAGATCATCCACATAACATTCAACGTTCTTATGTAGAATATCATCGAAAATCTTTTGCATTGCCCGCTAGTAGGTTGCCCCCGCATTTTTTAATCCAAAAGGCATAACTTTGTAACAATATATGCCTTCAGGGGTACGAAATGATGTGAGTTCCTCATCTTTTGGGTTCATCCGTATCTGTTTGTATCCGAAAAACCCGTCCATGAAAGATAAGACTTCATATCCGGTAGTTGCATCCACCATCAACTATGTTATTGGAAGTGAAAAATCATTTTTCGGACATGCTTGATTCAAATCCCGAAAGTCAACACAAATTCGTAATTGCCCGTTCTTCTTTTTGACAGGAACAATGTTTGCGATCCATGTTGGATATTTCACTTCACGTATAAATCCAGCTTCAATAAGTTTGTTGACTTCCATTTCAATTTGAGGAATCAGTTCTAGTCAAAATCTTCTTTGAGGTTGTTTGACCGGTCGAACTCCATGTCTTACTGCAAGATGATGCACTGCAACCTTAGGATTTAACCCCGACATTTCTTTTTAAGACCATGCAAACACGTCTTTGTATTCGTGAAGCAAACTAATGTACTCAGATTCTTCCTATTGACTGAGAAGGGCACTTATAAATACTGGTCTGGGGTCTTCTTCGGTCCCCAGGTTCAATTGTTTCAAGTCATCCACAGTAGCTTGTCCCCCTTCTTCAAAAGTAGGTGGGGCTGGTTTAGGTTCATCAGTTGTGACGGAACTTTCGGACTCGAAGTTTGAATCGAGAGCTTCTTCAAAGGCTATTTGATTGACAGAGACTTCTTCCTTTTCTTCACTCTTCTTTAGGGATGGACGAACTTTTTGCTGTCTTTGTCTTCTTCTTGACCGTTGTGGCTTTGGGCTTGGATCAGAAGTTTTAATCCCAAGTCGGGAAAATACAAATTATCTTTGGGATGACATTTGAGGAGCTTGTGTATTCCTATCAATTTAGGTAGAAGAAGAAGAATATTCGCTTAATCTTTGGAAGACAGAAACTTTACCTTTTCCATCAACCATTGGGGAGGGTTTTCCTTTTAACCTTTTAAACACCGAAACTCTGGCATTCTCATTTTCAATTCGATCGAACACTGAAGGTTTCGGCTGTTCAAATTTCTCTTCTACAACTTCATAAATTTGAATCATGATGGGGTTTGAGAAAACCTTCTTGACCTTAATCTTTCTTGGTGGATTGGGATCATATCCCAAACCATACCTGGGTCGGGACACCAAGGCTTTGTCAGAACTAGAAGGGGTTCGCCCTCCTGAAAGGACAGCATCAAGATCACCTAATTTACGAGGCTCTCCTTTTCCAATCCCAGCATTTTTGAACAACTTTTTAACTTGAGGATTGTAACATCCTTTGAAAGTTTGTTTTGATTCAGCAGCTCCTTCTTGTTTGGATGAGCTGGAAATATTAAGTTTTAATATGTCGGGAAGAGATGTTGAAGCCGTTGAAGCCTTTGATGTAGATTTATATTCTTTCGGGCCCGCCATAAGTTGGTGGGGCAGAAGCAATTTTGGAATACTAGGTATTGGAAGAGTTAACTCTTTTCTCAATACCTCAATATCAGTTGATTCTACTTGAGGTTTTTTGCCTTTAGTAAATCTTGACTTATCTTTGATAAGTTGATGAGATTGAGCAGCACTAGACGTATCATGATCGTGTGTATCTTCTTTGATTTTAAATCCAGCTATGGTCAACCCTGAAGAATTACATTCTTCACCTTCCATGTAAAGGTTTTTGAAACTTGAATCAGTTCTAGTCAAAAATGAGATTTTTCTTCAAGAAAAGGTTTCGACATAGCTACCACACATTTGACTTCTCCATCTCGGCTATATTTGAAGCATTAGTGCTAAGTCGAAGGTACCACTTCAGTTTCATGTAGCCAAACACGTTCAAGGAGTAACTCGTATGACGTTTTAGCATCAATGACATGGAAAAGAGCCGAGGAGATTAACTCTCCTATTTACAGCTTTAGGCGAATCATGCCAATGGCTCGCTGACCTTTTTGATTGAATCCTTGAATCATGATTTTGCTTCTAGATAGATTACCAACATTGATTCCAATTTTCTTCATTATTTTGACTGACATAATATTTACAGCAGATCCACAATTGATCATTATACGATTTATCTTGCACTCTCGAATATAACCGCTGACATACAGTAGTCTATTATGGGGACGTGAACCTAGCTGTAAATCTCCATCGTCGAATGTTATGGAGGCCATACAGTCTTGAGGAGTTGTGGCTTCAATATGTTCTAACGATTTGCCTTCGTATTCTTCCGGATCGATTAATGCTACGACCAAGGCCATCCGATCATCGAAGGGAAGGGCAAGAGACTCTGCTAGACTTGTATTGGCAGGAATATTATTGAGTCATGAAATAGTTTTCTTCTATTTTGAAGTCTTCCTTGATACATTCTTCATTTCATCTTTCTCCTCCACATTGATTACATTGGAGGCTAGACATTCTTTATCAAAGAAACCTTTAGGAAAGTAATCACCCAAGGTCGGTAGTCTAGGAACAACGCGTGGAGCTGTTCCCTCTTCTGCTGATTTAGTAGATACTCTTGGCTTGGCTTCAGGCCTCCTTATTTGATTGTTCCTTGGTCTTGATTTCTTGTCACAAACGCTAGAAACTGGGAGTCGTGGAGCCTTCCGACGACGTCTTTTCACTAGGGTCCATGATCCCTGATCTTCTTCTAGTGTTTCTTCTTCATTGGGTTGAATTTTCGTACCCAATTCCTCTAGCTTTGTTCCTGCAAGAGGCGTAGAAAGTAATATTTTACCTATTTTGGCATTCTGTATTCTCTTTCTTCTTTATGAAGGTAGACCAGCCGTCACCGATCTCGCCTTCTAATTCTAAGCTGAAATCTCAAACATCCAAGTCACTTGTCATAATTTCATAAAAGGTTGGATGATTGGGTGCACTTGGTCCATTCATCCCTGGATAGATATAACTGATGGTGATTTCTCCGTCTACCTCAAATTTCACTGGGATGGCTCCTTCCAGGAGTTGAGATCCAAATTCCTCGACGGAGGATTTACAGGCATCATATAAATCAGAGAATATTTGTTTCTTTCCTGGAATGGGAATTGGATCAAATGATCCAAATGAAACCATCGAGCATGCGGCTGTTGGATTCTCTCCGATCTCAAGTTTGATCTTATTTTCTTTGTCCTAGTGAACAATAAAATCTTTCAAAACAAAGCATTTTTCCACTGGATGGCTAATGATCCTGTGAAATTTACAGTATTTAGGGTGATCGATCTTACCAGCCTCCTCAAGTCCTTTTGGTTCTGGAAGTTCGATTATTTTCTGTTCAAGGAGCTGATCCTGAATTTCAGAAACTTCTGAATCTGAGAATGGGTACTCCTTTCCTTCAAGTTCCTTTAGAGTCACATGACTTCTGCTTTGGACTTGTCCTTTGTTAGGTCTGAACTCTAGCTTCGATTTTGAGTTCGAGCTCGACCCTTGGAAGGCTATCTTTGTAGGAACAGTAGAAATTGCCATAGCCTCTTTGGATTTACTTGTCTTGACGTCTTTCTTTATAGCCTTCTTAGGATCTTTCTTGTCACGTGGATCACTTGGTAAATAACTCCCATGCTTTGTAATTTGGAGCTCCAGGTCATGAGCACGTGTTGCCAATTCTTCGAATGAGTGAGGCATGTTTGCTTGGAGATTATAGAGTAATCCCCAATGCATGCCTTGTACACACATGTCGATGGAAGATGCTTCACTTATTCGTTCTTTACAATTAAGCACAAGGTTTCTCCAGCGTTCAATGTACTCTACTACAGGTTCTTCCTTGCTCTGCTTTGTTCGAGCAAGTTCTAGAAGGCTGAGAGTTCGTCGAGTGCTGTAGAAGCGTGTTATGAACTCTCGCTTGAGTTGATCCCAACTATCAATTGACCCTGCCGGTAAGTCTGTGTACCATTCAA